AATGCGCTTAGGGTTATAAAGTGTGAAACCCCGCAACTGTGAGATAAGTAATTGTAGCCGTTATTTGTAGATTGTTAAATAAACCAATTAACCATCTCTACGGCGTATTCAGTAACGAAACACGTTACAATATGTTAACTGTGCCAGACTGAGTTCATTGAACTAATTTCATACAAGTAGGAAGTTGCAAGTTGGTATAGGCTATGTATTTATACATAACAGGGAATAAATTGTATATACGTATTAATTGTGAAAAGTGCTGAGTAGGAATTAATTATGATGACAGTGTTGAATAAACAATAAGTGGCTGGAATTAATTAAAAGATCTTGAAGTATAGTAAGGAAATCTGTAATTGGAGTTGTCTTAAATTAATAATGAATGAAAGTAACACCCTTTAAAAATTTGAGGCTTTCACGGCGGTGACTATGAAGAAAGCAGTCTTTTGGGATTTGGCACCGTGTATAAATGGTGTTAACCGACGTTTCGGAGGAACGTATCGCCTCCATCTTCAGGGTAGAAGAAAATATAAGAATTCTGCAAACCTACCGGTTCTCACGGTCTCTTCGCTTGCAGAATTCTTATATTTTCTTCTACCCTGAAGATGGAGGCGATACGTTCCTCCGAAACGTCGGTTAACACCACTTATACACGGTGCCAAATCCCAAAAGACTGCTTTCTTCACTCTTTAAAAACATTGTGAACAACGTGAAAACAAAGGGGAAGAGAATCATTTGGTTATACATTATAAAAGTCATAACAGAAGCTAAGTTTTTAAATTATATTTCTCATTAATAATGTTAATTTAATTTTTTTGTACATTAGCACAAATTCTTGTATGTGGCTTCTGATCATCGAATTCGCCAGATTGACCTAGCGATGTGCAACCGACGCTATGATAATTGCCTTCGTTGTGTTCATGATCCCTATTGCGGATGGGATAAAGATACCAATTCCTGCAAGCCTTTTACTCCAGGGTAAGGAACAGACTTATTTATTACAGTTTAAAATTGAAAATAGCCCATGTATTATATGTATTACATACGATTTGAGGATCTCACAGCAGTGGTAATGAGTTCTGTCTCTGAGATATAACACCATATAGTCTATTGAAAGCCAACTAACGTTTTGGAGGACTATATCGCCTCCATCTTCAGGGTCAAAGAATAAGCCATGGAAGAAACCAGTTTGAGGCAGGTAGTAAGAAACATAGGATGACTTTGAAGGTATGATGCAGCATTATATCCCAGAAGACAGAACTCTTTGTATGTATTATACTCAGAATTACTGTGTTTTCAGACTTCCTCCATCGTTTGGTATTCTAAAAACTTGAAAACGCATAGTTTTCGTAACTGCATCTGTTTCTGTCCTCAGGTGAGGCGGGAGACACCTGCTCTCTTGGGTTACTTAGAAAGAGCTAACCCCTAAATCGTTGGACTAGACCTGTTTCCATCCTCAGATGGGGGGGGGATACTCTTGGATCCCTTAGAAAGAGCTAGCCGCAATCTCTGGAAACATTGTTTTTTGTAGTTTTTAGAATACTGGGTGATGGACAAAGTCCAAAATCCCAGTAATTCTGGGAGCCATACACTGTTGTCAGAACAAAACAGAATTTATATGTATTATAGTTTTCAATTCTGTTAACCAAATTAATGCAATATGAGGTTTGAGGTTTGCAGTTCAGTGAGTATTAAAGACTAAAGTCTTCTGGAATGTTATATCATATTATCTGGTAAACTGTAACCTTACATTAATGCAAGTATGTTAATTATTCAGACTAAAAAAAGTTGTATAAATATTATATAAAACCATACAGGGCTTTCACATCAGAAGTAGAATACTTTCATTCTGACATTCTGAGTCAGTGTACCTTCACTTATCTCTGTTGATAGTTTGTTTTACTTCAGTAAACAGTGTTACCAAGAAATGAAATATTCACTTTTCTAGCCACATTTTGTAGGTTATAACATAAACCTCGAATCTCAAAGTTCTTACCTTCTGTTCTTTGTTGCTGTGTTTTCTGTTTCTCCATTTTGTTGGTCGCCATAGCAGTTGTCTCTTTTCAAACACCTCCCCTCCAAAAATTTGAAAATAGTATGTAATATTTAAATAATGTTTTTTTAGATGTCAATACTAATACATATATTGCAACCATGAGACTTTTTACACTAAGATGAGCTTTTATATCTATAGCTTAATGTTGAATGTAAGTTTGTCCAGATATTTCACTATTGTTTAATGTTCTGTACAGAAACTAGAATTCATCAAACCCTCTTTTTGTGTGGTGAAGCCTATCATGTTATGTAGCAGGAGATAAGCGCTTGTGATGACTTCACAGGTTGCTGCAAGACGTGTCCAACAGCACAGTTGGTGTGTGTGACAGTAGCGTGGTGAAGAAAAAGATGTTGGTCACTTGGGGTCAGAGTATTCACCTAGGATGTTTCCTCAAAATGCCTGAGGTCCTGAGTAGCCAGACAGTGACCTGGTTTCATTACAACAAAGAGAAGGGGCGCTATCAAATTGTGTACAGGTGGGGCTTACAGTCAAGTTCATGCATTAGAAATATTTCTGCTGACTCTAGTTGATATTCTTTACTTTCTTGGCAAGGTGAAGCCATTCCCTTCAGGGTTGGAAGCACCCATAGGGATGAATTCCAGGTGCTTCTCAAGGTAGAGTATTGATAAAAGTCAGTAGCTGGCAATGTTTTTCTTCAGTGTGCCACTTATTATTAAATTTAAAATTTTGATCTTCGTATATGGCAGCATTGTTCTTTTGAATTTATACTTTGTTACCTTATGCACTATGTGAAGTCATATACTGGTGTACCTATCTGTGCAAAAATTGTATTCTGTGCTTATTATTGTAACTGAAAAAAGTAAAAAAAAAATAAAAAATATTATGATTGAAGATAGTCCTGCTCTTTGTAACCATATGTATTGTTAATGAGTGGAAAATTATGTTACTAGTTCAAGAAAAGTTGTATGTTTTAAATGCTTCTATGATTTAATAATTCAGTATTGTGTAATAACAGTTTGGTCACTGAAGTGAATACACAATTTAGTCCATACTGCCAAAAATACTTCTTTCATTGTTGATCTTTCAACAATGTTTGTGTGTCACAGGCCAGACAAGTACATAGAGACATCAGAGCATGGGTTGGTGATTATTGCTGTTAATGAGGCTGACTCTGGACGTTACGACTGCTGGATGGGGGGCTCATTGCTGTGTAGTTATAACATCACTGTAGATGCACATCGTTGTGCCCCACCTGGAAAGTCACATGACTATCAGAAGGTCTACTCTGATTGGTGTCATGAGTTTGAGAAATACAAAATGGCTATGAAGACCTGGGAAAGGAAACAGGCTGTAAGTACTGATCTCTTCTCATGCATTTGGTCCAGTCTTCTCTGAATCTGATATAGCTACATTTAATGAAAATGACACATGTAACCTGTATAAAGTTTCCTAACCTACTTACTTGAAAATGTTTCTGTGTAAATTGTCATTCCCAGTCTAACGTTGAAAATGTCTGGATGTTCTGTCAGTCTTCAATCTGTTGGACCAGAAACAAACTTTTGATTCTTCAGTAATGTCTAAGAATGTACATATTGACATACGTATTGGCTCAATTGTGAAGCAGTGGAAATTAATATTTCTTGTGCAATAATAGGGTAAAATAAGAGGTTTCAATCCTGAATAGGATCATGAGCAGCTTAAAAATATCTCGTGAAGTAAAAATGTTGCTAGAATTGTTACATTTTGGACTTGAAATTGAAAGATGCTTTTCACATAACAATTAACACTTCACTAATGCACCTCACTGCATTTAGCCTTTAATCCTGTGTGTGTGTGTGTGCGTGTGCGCATGTGTGTGTGTGCGTGTGCGCATGCGTGCGCGCGCGCGTGTGTGTGTGTGTGTGAGAGAGAGAGAGAGAGAGACATTTACACCCTGTCAAGAGCCTGTTATATAATTGGCTGGTGGTAATTTATTTTTTCCAATTAATAGCTACAAAATCACAAGTTTTTTGAATTTCCTAACTTTTTTTATTGAATTTTAATGAAATTTTCACTCTGTCATTGAACATATATAGAATGTTTATACTACATAAATGTTACCAAATAGTCATATATTTTATGTTTTTATGTTAAGAAAAGATGAAATATGAGTGTGAATAATTACATTATGTTGTTCCTGAAAACACTTTGCACTTATAAGGCTACTGATATACTGTTCTTGTCTTTTACATGTTTATTATATGTAACACCATTTTGTAGATTTTGATTCTCTTTCTGTTGGAGGTATTCTCCTGGGGAAATGTGGTTTGCCAGCATTGCAACTGTGTTATCATCTGCATGCTCCCTATGATTTTATATTCTTCAGAATACATTACTGATAGATTTTGCACTAAATCCATTCCAAATTTTAGATGACCCTCCTCCCTGTCTACATTTTATCTGCATATTGTCAGTGTGTTCAGTACTGTTACATTGTGTGCAGAAGAGTTTCATATAACATTTATTCATTTTCTTTCTTTTTATGAGGTGCATATGTAGCTTCTGTTCCCTCGTGTCAACATCTTCAGCCTGTTTCTTTAGTCTCTAATAAAGAAACTTTTGTACTTGTTGATTTTGCTTTGTGGTGATTTGTCTTGTTTCATCACGGATCTTTGCTGCTATCTTCATATAATTCAACTTGATGATGAATACAATCTGGCATGTTGTTCAATAATTTTACTTCTGTTTAGTTTGTGTGTTTTTTTTTTTAAGTTCATTCTTCCTATTTAGTTTTGGAGTCTCTGCATTGTTATTCTTCTGTGACCCTAATAAGATCTGATGAGTTGTAGAAGTTGTTCAGCTAAATTGTTTATTTCTTATAAAACAAAGTTTAATTTCTTTCAACATTATGGCATGTCTCAGTTAATCAAGAGGGGTCTGTATACTTGTCCATCACTCTATATGTATGGGGAGAGGCACATAATGAGTAGTAGACACTCACAATTCCAAAGGTCTTATACAGATCCATGAGCACTATAGCATAAGGTACTGCCTGAAAGAAAGGTGATTTGCCACAGAATTAATGACTCATTTATGGAAATATTCTGATGGGATATGCACAGGATTTTAAACTTAGTGTTTAAATGATTTAGGAATGATTTTGAACAAGCTGGAGGACCTTCAAATTTGTCTTTGATACTCTGGTCTATGATTTGTAACAACCTCTAAGTTAACTAAAAATGATGAGAACTGACAGAGCCAAATGTGAACATAGCTGCCAGCTGGTTAAATGAAAAGTACATCCTTAAGCTAGGTTTATGAATAATGCCCATTAGAATGAAGAATGCTAGAACAACCTAAACTTCATCTTCATACCAACTGATAATCATTCATGTGTGAGTTTTCATTTTATATTTATGATTAATTTTTACATTAGCTGAGCATAATGGTTTGTTTGTGCTGGCATTTATCCTGCTAAAACAAGTTTAAAATTCACACCCTTTGCATTGCCTCTAGGGCCAGTGACATCTATAAACATTTCCTTTTGTGGATTGTAATTTATCGTGTTTTGCCACATTTCTATAGCTGTATATTTACTTTACCTTCTTCATCATTAGTACTACTACCTGAATCCACCACACTACTTCACTCTCTGTCAGATACCTTGCCCTTAACACTGTTGCCATGGTAAAGCTATAGACAGTAAAGGTTGGGGGACACCAGAAAATATCAATGTAAATACATAGAATTTGAATGAATGTGTATGTGCATTTGAGAGTACCAAAGTCACATGAGATGGAAGCAAGATGTGCTCTATACTCGTAAGTGAATCTGTTTTTGATCATTCATAAACTACATCAGATTCAAAGTCTGATAGATTCTCTCAACCACATGATTTATATCTGAAATATTTTGTCAGAAGGAAGTACTATGTTGGTTTATTCAGACAGGTGCCCTACAGGCCTTCTCAGAAGTACAAGACAAATACAAGCAGTGAAAATACATTCTAATGCAAAATCTATGCATAAATTTGGCATGTCAGAAGCTAGAGAATTCAATCCTCTTTCAAACCAGATAAAGTGTGACAAAATATTCTTGAAGCTTATCCAGAAATGAAACTATAAATAAATTTCTTGTGAGGTATGAGTATAGTTGCCATCCAGTAGCATACAACACAGTGCGTATACTTGATCTGCCACATTAAAGGATTAACCTTTAACATAAAGTTATTTCACATTTCCTCATGAAAGCGAATTCATTCAGTTGTTAATAGGATTTCTAATTGGGTCAGGAAATCTACAATATAGGAGGTTCCATTTGGAAAACATATCAGTAATTTGCTTTTTGTTACCAAGTTCCTAATATTACCATTTTTGAGGTGTCTGTTTTGATGATAAAGATTTCAGCTCATCATGCATAATATGAAGATGTTAGCAGTATAGTATACCATAAGTTTATAATTTTGTGATCAGTGCAGACATTAGTAGATTGATATCTGACTGCTAAGTGTATGAAACATCAACTTCATTTGGTGTAAGAGCAAACATGCTTTTTTTATATAATTCCAATTATGTTATATGTAACCATTTTCTGCTGAAATGTATCCCTGTTATTGACAGGTAGTGATTCCTTCCTTTGTATATATGTGTGTGTGTGTGCATGCACATGCACATGAATGATGAACCATTTACAGTGAACCAGCAAATTAATTAATTCACAGAAACATCTTGTCATAAGAAATTTTGGTAACTGATATATAATGTGACTACTTAAACTAAGAAAATTGGCTCAGTGTGATTTCCAGTTATGCAACTTGGAGACCAAATAGTTTGTATACTGCTGGGAAAGTTTTAAGGTCTCAGATTGATAATTGCAGTAATTATCATGTTATAACTACAATATATTTATGTGGAATTTCAAGCTAAATTTTCCATTTGAAAAGTGAAAGGTGTTAGATAATGCATGTCGTTCATTTATTCAGCCAAAGAAAGAAATGAGAAATTAATGTATCAATTGATTAAATGAGAGAGTTCTATTTGCTGCTGTTATCATGGGTGTTCCAAATTTGAAAAGTAACCTGTACTTCTGTTCTGTTACAGCAATGCAGCACTAGACAAAATGACAGCAATCAGAATGCACATCCTAATGAAATTTATCACAGAAGTCCATTAGTCTGATAGTCAGTAAAACAAGCTGAAGTATTTTTGCTTCCGTTGGACTCTCATTTTGTACATAGGGCTCATGAGAGCAACACGGTAAGAATTATAAGCCTGGTATGTACCTTACATTTTAGACCAGCAACACAACATTAGAAACTGTTGGAGACCCCATCGTCATGCAGTGGTTCCATCTGTAATATGCATGACATGATGATGGTGATGATAATAATAACAATTATAATAATAATGTAATTGCAGTGCTGAATCAGCATCTCTGTACCGGAAGTGGAGTAGATCTGTGATATTCCGACATAGCGAGCCGTGAGCGGATATGTCATGAGTGCGGTGGTGTGTTTGTTTGGACTGACAGTGTCAGTTGTGTTGGGGTTAAGAAAATTTAGAATTAGGACTAATCTTATTGTAGAAGAAGAGACATTTCTAAAATCATCGTAGCTTTCAAACAATAAAATATAAAAAAGAGTACTTGCCCCCATAGTGGAGAGTTCTACTGACCACACTGTGACATACCTTTATTGTGAAAGTGTGTGTATGTGAATGTGATTTTTTAAAATGTGTAAAAGATTTTTCTAGCACTGATCAGTGTTTGAAAGTACACACAGTATTTCAATAACAGTTGTGCCATTATCACATAAATGATTTACATGCTGTGTTCTGAAATACAAGTGACTTAGTGTGGGGAATGTGGCAAGGCAAACGCAGTTTGATGTTGAAAGTTCCAAATGACACAAGATGGGGTTTGAAAGGTGCTACTTGTAAAGGATTTGTGAACCAACAGAAGTTTTCTCCATGTCAACATCAAGGATTGCCAGTGGTTCGTCCTTCCAGACTTTTACTACTGTACAGAAAATGATAGAAAGTTCTACCCTTGTTATAAGAATTTTCAGGATTTGTGGGTGGCAGTAGATACATAATTGAAGTATGACAAATTGTGTGCTGTGTGAGATTAATCAGTAGATGCTGTCATATAGCTATGATTGAATCCCTTCACTGTTGAAATCCATCAGAACAGCTGTCTGTATCAAGTCATGATGGAATTAAAAATACCTCCTCTTGGAAAAACAAGAGGAAGGTGGTAATGTGAAAGGCAGTACTTCCTGGTGGTGGCAGTATGTAACTGCTCGCATGTGCATGAAATACTGTCCCTACAATATGGATAAAAATTAAAGATGTACAGTGCTCCAGTACATGCTCAGACTAACCCAACAAGGACAGTATACATAACCCAAGCATATACTCAGGATGACATTGAAATGGTTAAAGGACTGAATAATTTATTGAATTTTGAGCAGTTTTCTTAGTACGAATATCAATAATATCATTGACTCTTTATCTCAGTATAGGTGGAGGATTATTTCAAGGTACTATACTGAATTTGTTAATTTAATTTATGTCTTCTCTTTCATTTTGACACATGATGTGAAAATAAATCGTACATAAGATTTAAGTAATTTTATCCACTATCTATGTGGCATGAAAAAGAAAGTTCTTACTCATGGCTGTTAAGGCAACTATTATGAATTAAACCCCTTACTGAAGGTGGAGGTCCGTGGCCAACTTTATTATGTGGCTTCCTTGAACCCCAGGGAAAGCGTAACCACTGTCCATTAGATATAACTCTGTGTAATGCCATTCTGAACGTGGTGGCAAAGAGAAAAATTCATACTGATTTATATCTGCATGTGTTAACTTACATATAAGAGATTTTGTTTAAATAATCTATTTGTGTAAAGTAAAAAAAAAAGTGAAGCTATCCCTGTAACAGGCCATGAAGGCCCATAGGGTTATGAGACGTTGAGGGTCCCACATTATCTAGAGAATTGGCTCAAAGATGGCGGTAAGGCTGTAAGCCTTACGCATCGGCCATGCATTACTCCCCAGGAAAATTATTTAATTAATTGCTGGTACTAATTTCTGTTGGAGGCTGAGTCAACCCCAGGGCCATAGTGTAGCCAGAAGGATGAGGTCAATTGAAAAAAATCCAGTGAACTCATCGGGACTGGAACCCGTGACCTTCTGGCTTGTAGCATAGTGCCTCAACCAACTACGCTACTGCGTGCCTCCAATCTATTTGTGTTCTGATTTAAAAATATATTTCATGTTTTTACTGAGAAGGCAGATAGTGATGAAGTAGCATAATAAAGTTGCGCTTTGTTCAAATGACATTTATGAATATACAGCATAATCCAAAACAGATATTGTCAATATATGATTAGAAACTCATAATATAAATGGGTTTTCTTTGACTATTAGTATGTGATCTGTATGAAATTCTGTTTATAATACTAAATTTTATAAAATTGATTTATTGCTATGGTTAGTGTTAGTGCCTGAGTTTCAGAAGCCAATAGGTTTGGTTGTTATGATGCAGCTGTTTTATTACATCAAGGTTATTTTAGAATACTACCTTTAAAACAGACTGTGATTACATCCTCCACAATTATGAAAAACAAACTGATAGGTGTAACATGAATTTCTGAAAACTTAATCATGTGACACAATAATATATTTTTGAAAACAAAGTAAGTCAAAATCACCATACATTATTGAAGATGCCCTTAGACTGTAAAAATTGTACGTTTTTCTCTTTGTAATAAAGAATTCCAATTTCACATACTTGACCACTGTTCTGCCATCCAGGAGAGGAGCATACTGATTTGCACATAATTATGTAACTTATTAATCTGGTCCTGCATAGGCATTTACTTGCAATTTGCCTTGTAACAGTGTTCACCTAAAGCATGATTTTAATGTGACATACTGGACTGTTCTTACTATGTACAGTATTTGGAAAGCTTTGAGGGGGATAGATAACTAGTTTGAAAGGAAAGAATAACAATATATATTGTATATCTTACATTTGGAACTTGCAATATGTAATATGCACTCATGAATTTAAGATTTGCTGGTTTTCTCTGACACTGTTTACAAGGAGCTATATATACATGGCTCTTGCATTTTGACATAGCATTTGTAAAGAAACTTAGTTGCAAAAAAAAAACATGAATTTTCACTCAGTTTCATGAAAATATGCTGTATGCAGTTTTAGATCTTTCACAATTTGTCGTAAACCTAGTATTAGCATTAGTTGCATAAGGTACAATGTGAAATTTGAAGTGAAAGAAATGTATGCTAGTTGCCAGCCTCACTGTTGGCTTCCACAATATATAAGTAATAAAATGAAAGAACTTTATACCTCATGCCTAGTATTTATGGTATGAAAGTAACTGTTCAGCCCACAAGTCATAGCTGGAAATGCAAGTAGTAACAATAAGAGATGCAGGAAACATAAAAATAAATTGTTCTTGGTCGAGTGTATTTAGTCCTTATGGTACCACTTTCATATCCTTCCCTAAACCTAACTATTAAAATTTACAGACCAGCAACTTAACATGTTGTCTGTTATGAGTGTGAAACTTTGTATCTGACCATAAGTGAGGAACAGATTGAGAATGTTGGTGAATAGGGCTTTGAGGAGAAAATTACATAATAAGGTGCTTCATAATTTGAACTCTTCAAACAGTATTAATGTTCAAATCAAAAAGAATGCTATGTAGTTTTTACGAGGAAGGTGGTAAATTCATCCAACATTTTACTTGGAAAACCTTAATGGAAGAGCTCACTATGAAGGCCAAGGCATAGGTAAAAAGCTTAAATGAAATAGATCACAGAGAAATAGGATGGTGAGGGCGTGGGCTGGAGTTAAACTGATTGAAGATGGGTCTCAGTGGCAGACTGTTATGTACACAGTAAGGAAACTTCACTTTTTATGGGAGCAGGGAATACCTACTTATCATAGGGTATGTGTAGGTGGTCTTACATTGGGCAACCATAGGCTGTATACAGAAATATATACCAGGCATGTCCAATGTGTCGATCGTGATCGACCAGTCAATCTCATAGGTCTATAAGGAAATTATATGTGAAAAGCATGTAAATTCACTTGTAATATAAAATAAGAAAGAGATCATAGCTACTATTCAAGATCTTTAATTATCAAGAAACACCACTGTGCAGCGAATAGAAATGATTTATGGAAACATAACTGAACAATTGTTGAAAGATGTTTCCAGTTGTGTTGCTTTATCCCTCCAACTGGATGAATCTACAGACATCAGAGAGACAGCCCAGTTACTAGTTGCTTTTACAACAAACATCATATGTGTTATTTTTACTGATATTTTTGCTTAAAGCGAGGTACGACGATAGGAGGGGGTGATAGATCACTGGCAGTTTTGACAGTAAAAAGTCGATCACAACCTGTTTGAAGTTGGACATTCCTGGTATATACCATACACTATATACAGATGCCCGAATGGTAGAGCATATTAAGATGTCACTACACCACTGTATCACAAGGTAAAGTGTGCATCAGAAAGAATGTATGGATTTCACAGGACAGTAAAATTTGTAAGGCTTCATCAAAATCACATTTTATTGTTACCATCAGATTTGCCAATACATGTAGTTTATTTATGGAATACAATATCATCCATATGACGTCCTTGGCTTCTGATACAGACGTCGAGGCGTTTTCTGAAGTTATTCATCACTCTCGCGGCCATATCTGATGGAACTGCTGTGATTTCTTCTCGAATCACTGTCAGATCATCCAGTGTATGTGGTCAATGTTTATAAACTTCTGCCTTCAAATGGTCAATGTTTATAAACTTCTGCCTTCAAATGGCCCCAAAGGAAGAAATCACAGGGAGCAAGATCGGGTGAATGTGCGGACCAAGGAATGTCACCATGATGTAAGATGATGTGCCCCGGAAAGAGCCCTCTTAGGAGATCCATTGTTAGTCACGCAGCATGAGCAATGGCCCCTTCTTGTTGAAACTAAATGTCGTCAGCATCAACAGCAAGCTCGTTCAGCCTTGTTTGCAGGAAATTTTGTAACATTTCAACGAGGGCCGCGCCATAGCTCAAGTGGTTAGTCGCTGGCTTCCCACCATGGTGGCCTGCGTTCGATCCTGGGTCTGATCAAGTGAGATTTGTGGTGGAAAAAGTGGCACTGGGGCAGGTTTTCTCTGAGTACTTCGGTTTCCCCTGCCAATCTTCATTCCACCAATTGCTCCACAATCACCCTCACCTATCATCTGGGGCTGGTACAATAGGCCAGAAGTGGCCGCAGTGCAAGGGACATAGTCCCACCCCACTAGCAATAAAAAAAATAAACATTTCAACATTATGAGCACTTGTAACTGTTACTGCATGGCTGTCCTCAAAAAAGTAAGGCCCCCAAACACCAAATTCTGCTACAGCACACCAAACAGTTACTCTCTCACTGTGAAGAGGTCTCTTGTGCAGTTCTTTAGGATTTGTTCCTGCCCAATACCGGAAATTCTGTTTATCTACACAGCCAGATAGGTGGAAATGGGCTTCGTCACTGGTCAACAGAACAACAGTAGGGGGCACGCTCGCAAGAATATGCAGGCAACTGTTAACACGATTCTCCCAGTCTCCTGCATGAAGTTCTTGTATAATTGCCATTTTATAGCGGTGAAATTTAAGGTCTAAATGCAAAACGTGTATTACTGTAGCATCGGATAATCTCAGAGCAGCAGCATGTTTGCGAGCTGATCGTTGAGGTGACTGGACAACTGACTGCCTTACTGCCTCCACATCTGCAGGCGTACAAGCGCTCTGTGGCCGTCCAGGTGATTTCTTCTTTAAGGTTGAACCTGTGGCATGAAATGAAGCCCCCCACCGCAAAATTGTCTTCCAAGTGGGGATCGTATCGCAACATCCGAGCTTGAAATGAGTGTGGAAAGCTTGTTGAGTGGCAATCACAGACTCTCTATTTTTCAAAAACATCTCTATGACGAATGTACGCTGTGCACCCAACCACTCTATGTTACCAACTGAAACCCCACTCTACACCTCCCCCCATCATGGCATAACAAGTCACTTGAAATCCAACAATTCTTTCCGATGCATCCTGTATATATAGATGACCTGTCCTAGAGTATACATAGTTACCTCCATCATAAACTATACATAGACATCTGCACAGCAGCCAATTTTACATAAGGTACATATACATGCCTTTATAGTAACCTGTAACAGGACACATATAGGAAAACTTATACTGAAAATACACTTGTGTGTGTACTGTAGGATATTTGTAGATGACAATAAAGCAGCTTATAACTTAACACACATGTAAATAACTCTATGATATCATATATACAGACACCTGTAATTCAGCCAAACACAGGGTAGATGTAGATGCCTCTAGCATACACCACTAATGGACACCAGTACATTAGCATATATTGTAATTTATATGGAATTAAATATGCTATACAGAGTGTCCCAGGAAGAATGTGCCATACTTCGGGAGGGTGTTCCTTATGTTAAAGTATGCTGGTATAACCCGAAACACCTATGTCCAAAGTTGAACGGTTACAGAGATGTAAGTTTTGAGGTTTTCACGGCGATGACAATGAAGAAAGTTGTCTTCTGGGCTTAGGCACCGTGTATTCGGTGCCTAAACCCAGAAGACGACTCTCTTCGGTTACAGAGATAATGGCCTGAGAAAAGTGTGGTCTTCTGCTGGGTCCACGCACTGTACCTGTCAGCTGACAAATCTTATCTATGTTTGTCCTTGAGTGTGGTGATGTTGGACCTCACTAGCTGCATCCACTCGCATACCAGAATGCGCAGTCAGCCATGTTACATCAGTGCTTGCCATTCATGTGTCATGTATAGTGCTTGGAACCTTAACGACAACTATGACATGGGGTGCGAGTTCTTTTGTAGTTCAATTTAATGT